TCCTCTTGGAGCACTCCTTGGCGCCATTGGGGTCCTCTTTGTGCCGTCCTGAGGCCATCTTGCCATCCTGGTCCGTCTTGGATGCACCGTGGGCTGGCTCGGCGGCCTCGGCTGCCTGGGCCCTCCTGGAGGTCATCCTGGACGCTCCGGAGAGCGCCGGGGAGGCGTCGGGGCGCCCAGGAAGCTTCGGGTGGCGGGGGGGGCGATGTGTGCAAGTAGATGCTGCTGGAGGGGGAGAGGGGTCCTTAAGAAGAGTGGCCCACATGTCGTAACAACAGGGAGGGAGTAATCATTTTACACCCCCCAGGAGCACATTCTTGTACACACACACACACGGGCATTTTTTGATACCCACCCAAAGTAACTTCCCAGACGTGCAATCTTATACCCCCCAGATCAGCCATGAAAGGCCCTTTGCCCTGACCGCCACGAGCCCTCCAAGGCGGCTCAAGTCAGACCCCGCCCAAGTCAGACCACCCCTCCTTCTATGACGAAATCCGGCGTATCCAGCTACCTGTGACAAGCCTTGCGACCATGCCAGCGCAGCAGCGCAGCAGGGGGGAGGCTTGAGTTTCAGACCCGCTCCATGTAAGTGCCCTGTCAGAGCTGGTGCGGCGCTTAAGCACCCTCCTTGCCCTCAGTCTCGTTCCTCTTCCTCATCCTCTCCCCTCTTTTGAGAGCAGCATCTTGTGGGCTTCTTGGGGGCCTGTTTGGGGCCTCTCGGGGCTTTCTTCTTGGTTGGTGGTCTCGGGGCCAGCTTGGGCGCGATATTTCTTCCTCTGCCCTTCACCTTCTCTTCTCCTTCTTCCTCCTCCTCCTCCTCCCATTTCCTCCCCCTCCTCCTCCTCCTCCTATTCTCTACGTATTCAGCCTTCAGCTTGTAACTGTCGTAGTGTTGTTCAAGTGTTCGTGCCACTTCATTGCTTCTACATTGTCTTACGACGGAGTTTCGTGTTGCATGTGATACGCTCGCTGGCATTTGGTTTGTCACTTTCCGTGCTTTTTACTTATTGCACTAGTCTGTTGTGGCAGTGAGACGGTGATGTTTTTCTGTTGAAGTCCGTCATGTTCTTCAGCACGCCTCACTCCCTGATCATCCGTGTCCTGGATCTCCTCTTCGGCAGGACTTGGAGGAGATAGCGTGGAGTACTTTTCCTCCTTTTCGTCCCTCATACTCCTTTGCCTCTATTCTCGTCCTCCTCCTCCTCCATCTCGTCCTCCCTCTCCCTCTTCCTCTCCCTTCCCTGTCTCTATTCCTCCTCTTCCTCGATCCTCCGCATCTATCCTCCTCGATCCTCAGCCTCGCACTACGGAGCAATAGTGAAGGGAACCGGGAACCTGGAACCAGGAACCGGGAACTGGCAGGATCCAGGAACAGGGAATCGGGAACGGGAAATCGGGAACCGGGAACCGGCTGGGAACCGGGAGCCCGGAACCGGGAATTGGGAACCTGGGAGCCGGGAACTAAGAGCCGGGATGCGGGAAATAGATGCGCAGGATTTGGGACACGTGTTCGGAAATTGGGACACCAGGAGAGAGGGAGAACGAATGAGAGTGATACTCACACATATACATATGTACACGAATAAGTATATATTACACGTGAGAAAATCCCAATCAGTGGATGATGTGAAAATCAATACTATGGATCCTGAGATCGATTGTGAGATCGATTATGAGATCGATAGTGGAATCGATAGTGAGGACGATTGCAAGGTTGATCGTGAGACCGAGAGTGAAATCGATTCAATGAGATCGATCGTGAGATCGATCGTGAGATCTCTCATGCGATCTCTAGTGAGATCGCTTGTGAGATCGATAGTGAGATCGATTGTAAGATCGATGGTGAGATCGATAGAGAAGTGGGTAATGAGATCGATGGTGAGACCGATTGATAAGACGATCGACCAGGAACCCGGGAACCCAGGAACCTCGCCGCCCTCCGAAATCGGCCCGGAACCGGGAACCGGGAACCCAGGAACCCAGAACCTGGAACCCGGGAACCCAGCCAGCAACCCAAATCGGCAGGACACTTTCGCCAAATCTTTCAACATCCGCGAGGACCCCTTCAGTGCAAGCACTGATTGGGGAATGTACACATATACACATATGTATATATGTATAAGTATATATATATATACAGATATACCAAGAGAGAGCAAGATAGACAGAGAAACGGAGACAGATAGAGAGAGAGAGAGAGAGAGGCAGAGAGGTATAACCAGGCACAATCAAGTCAGAGAGAGAGAGAGAGTGATATCTGAACATATCCTCAGCTATATCATTACGTACACATTATGTATACATATATGCGTACACGCATGCAAATACTATATTTATTCTTTCAAACATATGCGAATGCATGTGAATGTCGATGTATGTGTACAAATGTATGTATGTCGTTGTAAAGAGGAACGGAGGGAGGTAGAGAGAGAGGGATAAGTATTGATATTTGCAGGGTTACACACGTGCATTGATATGTATATACCGTGCTATGTCC